TCTTAAATACCCCAAGACCTAGATATTTGACCGTAAAAGGATCTCACTGGTTAGCATATCAAGGATAGGCAAGTTTAATACTCGGCCTGATACCAATATCAAGTCTAGGGATTAAATGCAACACAAGTTATTCCACTTATCACAAAGTCCAGGAACACACTGGGTTTGGTCCAGTTCAATGTTTCTTTAAACATTCATTCTCACACCTCAGGTGACAAACCCTAGCAGATGAGATCCATTGCTCTACTACCTTGGGCAGTGTGGGAATGACAACCTTGTTAGGATATACTCCCCAAGTCTGTCCACTGGTTGTGAACATTTAAGTCCATATTGCAATAATTATGTGGCCTCATACATATTACTGATATGAACTAAGGGGTAATAAAGCAGAACAAAGCCGTGACACATGAAATGAGTGATCTTTCATTCACAGTAAAGACATGTACAATACATCAATTAGAGTTAAGGGCATACACATGTCTAGCATACTTTAGCTACAGTATCTTTTAAGTAGTATGGCCCATAGCCCTATTCTTTATTTAGGGGAAATTTGATACCGGTCAAACTGTGGCTGAACTGAATGACTTCTTGTTTTGTCTTTTGGTGAATTAAGTAATTTGGGAGGTTGTGAGCTCTTTACTGGTTTAAGCTGAAGTTGAGTTTTATTACTATACCTTTGAATATTTTATTTTTTTAATTATTCTTTCAACTAAAAGACGAAGTGCTAAGTTATTCACTTTAACCACTTTAGTTCTTGTCAAACAGCCCCTTAGTGATTGCTCTTGGCTACCACACTTTGCTTCTTGCTCTTTCAAGTGACCAGATTGTTTCTTAGATAAGTACAATATCCCGTAGTAGACCTCCTATTGAAAGATGATTCAGCCCAATCTGCACCTATATAGTCACCACTCTTGCATGGTTATCCATATGTCCTTTCAAGTATCATAAAGCTCTAGTGGATGCTTCTCAGTGAGAAATTCAAGGGCTTTGTATTTACTTACACATTAAAGGAGATATGCTCATATGCATCCACTGATTGGCAAGTAATTGAACTTCCCAACCAGTCTCCTATCTCTTTCTGGGTCATCAACTAATTCCCCTTAATCGTTTGTTATCTTCATGCTGGGATCTTTTTGGCATCACTGGCTCATTGCTGGCTTTTCTCCTAACAATTCTGTTTCTTTCAGTATGTTAATAATGTATTTCCTTTGGGATAACTTAATGTCATACAACTTCGACCTTGCTGCTTCAATATCCAAAGAATACTTTGGTTGATATTCAGTTTGAAAGTATCAATGAAAACTTTGGATTTTTTTTTATGCAATTCATATTGCTTGCATTAGGAAAAAGATACTGTACAACATTATTGGATCCACCACACCAAGCTCTAGGTGATTGTTCCAGTCTATAAATGGCTTTGTTAGTTTGCAATAAAATATGTTTTTATTCTTTAGCAACTAATTACGACTATCCATAGTGCCACCTAGGAGATGCTTTAACTATATACACCCGAAAACACTTGGTATAAAGTTTATAACCAATAAATTGAGCATTCTATGCTTTTATAGATTCATTATATATGCATAAGTTTACAAGTAAGATTTTTTAAACTTTTTTTTTTTTTTAATTTTTTAATTTTTCATTTTAGGCACAATAAGTAGGACTCTGATTAAATCCAAAATTGATACCATCCGATTTAGATTTAATGTTTTGGTAATTGGATTTGACTTGGATGTAGCTGGATCCAATCCGAATCTAACCCATTTATATTTATAGCCCTAGTAAGGCATATGCCTTTAGTACAGAGACGCATAAAGAGCTAATGCCTTGTGTTTTCTCTTTAAAATGACTTTTTAATAACAAAAAGATTATAAATATTCAGTGGCCATCATATTAAGATGCTCCTTGTTATATGTTAGCATAGTTTTTAAGGCGCCAAGGTAAAGCCCGGCGATAGAGGGGGGTGCCTAGGTGATGGAGTTTTTTACATAGAAACCATGAAAAATGGGAAACTCCCTAGGTTCCAGAGCAACCAACAACCATCTTTCATTTATAGTTATCTATAGACTTCATAAAAAAGTGTACACTTCATATTAAAAAAAAGCAACTCAACATATTTATGAGAAAAAAGAATGAAGAAAAGGTCAGAAAATAAAGTGGTCGTGCTCCTATTTTGTCTATTGGACAGAATTTTAAGTTCATTGCTTATTGTTTCAGATTTTGAGGTATTCGAGGGTTCAAATAGCATACACCAACATGTGTGTTGATTGAACCCTAAAAAGTAAGAAAATAATCAAAATAAACCAGTGTTTAGGAAACTGGACGGGAGTGACCGGTTGAACCATGACTCGTGGTCTTGGCCAGTTAGGTCACACCCCAAAAACAGTAATAACTGAAAACCAGTGAAAACTGGCTGACTGCCCAGTTTAACCGGAAAACCAATGAACTGGTCCCAGTTTTGTGAAACCACCCAGGTCATTCTGTAATTGAAATTTTAAAATGTGTTACTTATTTTCATGTATTACTTAATTACCTCTAATCAAGCTCTTTATTTCTGTTAATTAATGATTCTTTATTGTATATATTACTTTATACGCATTTTAAAGAAAATGTAAATTAAGAGACTTGAACCTGGTCATTTGCTTTAAAACTAAGGAATTTGCCATCCATCCACCATATTTAAGTATAATAAAAGTTGTAAAAAATATTATATATAGTATTTATATGACACGTAGTATATATGTATATGCCACATCATCATGGTTTGACCCTGGTTGAACCTCTTACCCGTGAACCTCCCCCTTTTTCTTTTCTTTCTTTTTTTTTTATGCCCAGTTTGGTTCTCTGAACATTGAAATGAGCTAGCATATAAAACCCAAAGTTTGAAGCACTTGAGGGTTCAAGACAGCATAGACCAACATATGTGTTGATTGAACCCTAAAAATAAACTAGCATATAAAATCCAAAATGAATATTTTGATTTAATAATATCTATTTAATTATTACAACATCACAAAACAAAGGATATAAAGGTGTTTCATAGTGGCATATACAAAATAGGTAGGCAAATAAGCGAGGTTACCATCCATAGGCGCCTTGTAGCCTAGGTGTCACCTTGACAACTATGTATACTATCATAGTACAAATGTGAAAAACCTGACTCTACCATCAATCATTTGTGATTTGTCGATTTGAGTTTGATAGTTTAACATTAAGTATTGTGGATAGTATCATGCTTAAAATTATTTTTTATTTGAATTTGATGGTTTTTTTATTGGAAATTACACCTATAAATATTTTCTAATTTTCTATTTATTTGCTATTATTTTCAATTATTTATTAATTAAAAAATATATGCTCGGATGGTTACGCCTCTTGCATGGTTTACACCTCACATCTTTTAGGATAGTGAAAGAGCTCTTGTTATTGCTTATTGAACATTCTCAGAACTGTAGAATCATCTGCCAGATTCCTAGCAATTCAACTATGATTGCTGACAAGTGTTCCAATTCAATCAAAATTCCTGGTAGTGAATCATTGCCACCCAACATAAGTAGAAAATCGGCTGCATTATAAACTTTAGTTTAAAGGTTATAGTTGTTTCTGCATCTTGGTGATTCATGCAATTATTGGTGAAATTTATATTTCAATAAATTTTCATAGATGGATCACATCTGTATGTATCCTACACTCGTCCACACAGTTTTGTAGTCTTACTTACGTGGGCAAGATATCTCCTTTCATCCAATGGCAGTATGCATGCACCAATATTGCCTGTCATGAGTCGCACTCAACTAGGTTATTCGGTCTCCTGTCACGAGTCCCACTCAACTCCTAATATTGCCTGTAGGCCTATTTGTGTTGTGAATTTAATTGTTTAATAGATGCCTCATAAAATAAAAGTATATTCGTCATCATCACCATCATCATCAAGTAAGCCTTGCCCAACTATATGGGGCCATCTTCATGAATCATTCTTCACCATTCCGATATGTTGATATCATCTGTTCATTGCCATATTCAATAATTTAAACATATGTACAAGAAAATGGTTTTCAGTTGGTGCATGGAAACATATTTCCAACCTAGCAGTCTACTAAGGGCCAATTCTTTTTGGAAAAAAATTTGGGAAAAGCCATTACAGTCCATATTCTCTATTTGGAAAAGAATTTGGGGACTCTTTTGAGTCCTGATGTGTAACCAATATCTAGCTAATCAGATAAGATATGTAGTCAGGTTGGATGATGATCTAATTCCGTTAAAACAGCCCAAGTGATTTGTGCCATCAAGCTAATGGAAGTGTTATTTGTCTATTTACTGTCCATTTGAACATGTATATAATAAGTTTGGTTCTTTCTAGCAATGCATATTCTTCTAATTACTTGTTTTCTCATTCTCTTTACAGTCAGTGCCATTTACAGCTCTAGTGATTTGTGCCATGAAGCCAATGAAGTTTTTTTTCTCATTCTTTTTAGATATATATTCTCATTCTACTATTTATATGTAGTTTCATAATTCTAGCTTGATGAACCATATTATTATTTATTTTTCTAATACACTTTGTTGCACTTGGAAAAGCAAGGCTAGGCCATAGGGGGCTCCTTGTCAACTAGTCATCTAGGTGTGCATCTTTTCATTTTTAAATCATCATCATCATCTAACCTTGTCCCAACAATATGGGATCGGCTGTGTTTATCAAAAAAAAAAAAAAAAAAAAAACTATATGGGATGGGCTATATGAATTCTGTTTAACCAATCTGTTCACCATACATAGCTTCTGGCATTCCTGTGTGGGACCCAGTTTGGAACACCAGAAGCCGTGTCCCAAAAGCCCTCCCAAACGGCACTAAGTGCCATATCCATTGTTAAACTACCAGTGCTTGAGGTAGGTCATAGGTGACCCACCCTCCATGGGTTCTTTGTTGTCTAGACAGCTTTGCCTGCATTCAAATATGGGCTTCTATGGTTGTTTTCTAAGATTTGATATTGTGTCTTTCCAGGTATCACATGTACAGTTGAAATCTTGGAGGTGGAATTAGATGGACTTAAAGAATATCACTGGTTTATGTTTTGGGGATACGGGCATACGGCAAAGTGGAGGCTGACTAATATTTTACGTTGGCAGGAAGTCTCCAAATGAAAATCAGCTTCTTGTTGGTTGGGCTTTTTGGCATATTTTTGCTGAATTTTATTTTTAATTTTTTTTGAACTTCGAAATTTATCATGCTATAGAAAAAGGAATATCATGATTCACCTAATAATCAAAAAAGCAGATCTGTTTCATGTGGAATCTTCTGGTGAGGAACCTTACTACCCTTTTAGAGGATGGCTCATCGGTCAACTTGAGAACTTATAGGATGCAAATGGATCGGTTTTTTATCCGATTCAATATTGTTGGATTCGGATCAGACATATCGGATTAACGAATCTGATTGGATCAGGAAATACGATCTGATCTGTGCATTTTGGATATTGAATTGGAATTACCCAGCGTAAACCACAACTTTCCCCATTTTGGTTTCCCTCATCGTCTACTCTTTAATCTTTTTCTGTTTTCTTTAATAATCAATTCATTTGCCTCGTTTCAGAAAAAAACTTGTCTTCCCGCCAATAAAGCTAGTCTTGGTCTATTCCCCTTTTCTTTTCACATCCTTTTCTTTCAAACTTCAGGATATGCATAATCAAAGATTTCAATGTGGGACTTTTTACCGACACTAGAGCATGGAGATCTGGAGATGTGGGAAATGGGAAAGATCACGAACTGAAGGAAAATTATTGATAGATATGGGGTCTCTTTTCCTTTTTCTTTCTATTGAGAAATCCCAGATTTTCTCTGCTATTAAATCTCTTCAAAGTAATCTTGGTTCATTTTTTTTTTCTTGAGAAATCCCAAGCTGTACTCTTAAATATCTTCAAAGTTCTCTCTCTCTCTCTAGTGTTGTTAATTGAATCTAATCCAAGTATTTTTCAAATCGAATTTGAAATTAAGGTTTTAGTATCCCATCAGATTCGAGTAAGTCTTATCAAATTGAATTCGGATGTACCCTTTGTTCTAATTCAATTCATTTCATTTGCTTCCCTAAGAACTTGCCTGATTCAAGTATCAAGTTAATAGGGTTATGGGCTATGGTTATTGGTCTATTGTCTGCTCCTTTGAGCTACTAAACTCCTTAAAGATGAATGTGGTTAGTACTTGGTACGAGGCAAGTTAAATGGATGGAGCTGTAAAATGGGTCAACCCGCCCATGGCTTGGCATGATTAGACCCACTTGCTATGGTACCTAGGCGGCTAGGCCATGTTAGGCTTGGCGGGTCTAGACCTAGGAGCTGACAGAACATGTGGGAAAATGGCTCGTACTGACATGCTTATGAGAATATAGCCGTTGGAATTTGGAACTAGGGGTGAGAAAAAAAAAACCGAAAAATTGATCAAAATCGAACCGAAAAATTGGTTAACTGAACCGGTTGGTTTGGTTTCGGTTTGATGATTTTAAAAAACTGAAGGTATCAGTTCAGTTTCGGTTAACCAATTTAAAAAACTGACGTTTAACTGAATCAACCGGTATACATGTTTTTGTAAATATTTTTTATATATTATAAATTAATAAATATGCATTATATATAAATATATATATATATATATTTATAATATATTATATATTATATATTATTTATTATTTAAAATATAATATTATATATATATGTTTATAATAAATGTTATAAAGTAAAAAAAATCGAAAAACTGACGAACTCAACCATCGGTTAACCGAACCGGTCAACCGGTTAATCGACTGATTTTGGTTTGGTTCCGGTTACCGGTTTTCCAAAAATCGGTACTACCAGTTCGGTCCAAAAAAGAGGCCCATGGTTCGGTTACCCGAACCGTGAGCACCCCTACTTGGAACCCTTTAATGGCTATAACAACATTTTAGGGGTGTAAATTTTATTGAAATGTCCCCTAATAGCTATAACTTAGTTTTTTGTTTGTTTGTTTTTTTTTTTTTTTGGGGGGGGGGAGGGGGGTGGTATTTGTGCGTTTCACCTTAGGGGTTATATAATGACTTAAATTCCCTCTCAATAGTTATATAATAGTTAGTTTGGGAGGCATCTTGGTAAAGTGATAAATTAACTTTTTGAAAGCAAAATATCCCTCTTAACAATTATAAATAGCTAGTTTAGGAGGGTATTTTGGTAAGTTGAATAATTTTTCCTTAGGGTGGCATAAAATGATTAAAATGTCCTCTCGACAGTTAGCTAGTTAGGGGCATCTTGCTAAAGTGATGAATTAACTTAGTAAAAGATAAAAATATCCATCCCAACAACTATGGGAAATTAACTTAGGAGGGTGTTTTGGTTAATTGAATAATTTCCAACGCCTATAAATGCCCTCACCCTCCCTCATTCTTATCAGAACTCTCATATTCTCATATACTCACATACACTCTTATACAGTCTCATACTCTCTTAGTTTCTTACTTAGTCCCCAATTTCTCAACTTCATTTCAAGTTTCAACAAGGAAGAGGCTTGCTTTAGTGTATCAAGTTAACAATTTGAGAGACTTAAAAAGTTCATCAATTGAAATCAAGTTTCGACTATTGGATTGGAATTGCTTTACTTTTATTTTATTTTTTCTAAATTTTAGGGTTTTAGTGTTTCACATTTACTAAAATGGTTTTTCTTCTTAAATTTACTCTTCCTATAGTTCCAATGAGGTCCAATCATAGTATGATATCATTGCTGATGGTGCTAGTGGTATTGCTGATAAAGCATATCCTAGTCTACTTAGGAGTGGCAAGAGAAAGACTAATAAAATTTGAAAAATATTTACCATAGAAGTTGAGGGAAAGGGAAAGAGAATAGTTTTCCAAAAAATGGAGAAGTGATTTTAGCTAATAGAGAATAGGTGGTATAGGCCATTTAGCTAGACACATGGCATTACATTTTGAGGAAAAATGGTGATGCAAATTAAATACAAGTAAAATGTTGTTTTTTTTGATAATTTTCAATATTTATATGAAAAGATGAGACAAGAACTAGTACAGTGTATTATACATGCTGAATAATTGTTATTATTATTTTTTGTAGATCCAAAACTTGAAATATTTTTACAACAATCTCAAAATTCTCAATTTAAAATATTTTTCTAGAAAAACTATAAGAATGGATGCTTTAAATTTTTTTTTGTTCATATAATCAATATTTAATTTTTACTCTTTCAACTCTTGATTATAAAGTTGTACTTCTGATATAATAGTTGTATTTGTGTTGTTGGGTATTTTATTGATGAATTATGGCTTTTGCAAAAAAGAATTTTAACTCATATTTTTAATATGTACATGGGTTGTAACCTAACTTAACCACAACCATCTTGATACACCCATTTTGACCAATTTGAATTTTTAGAACTAGGTAAAAAGTAAATAAATTCTCTTATGTTGCTACATGTTAGTAGTTTATTGGTCAAACACTGCCACAAAAATTGGACTTCATTGAAAAGTTATAGAGAAAGAAAATAGAAGAGAAAAAAAGGAGGGTGAGATTGATGCACGATTTAAGTTATCAATTCATATCGGCTTGACATCCTATGTTTATAAATAATAAATCTATGTTATAAATATTAACAAACATAATCCGTTCTTAGGAATTAGGATATACATGTGTCTTGCTTAGTTCATCAATCATATTTTGAGGTTTCTTAGTTGTTCATATAAATTATCAAATCATGTGCTTATTATGTGTATGAGATGGAGATTTAGTGTTATGAATATACTTTTAGGATTTGTTTATTTGAATGTGACATGGTATCAGTGCATATCTGAAGTGTGTTTTGATATATTTCTTAAAATTGAATTTTTGATATTCTGCGTTTTTGATACTGTTTTAGTGGTTCAGATAAGTATTGTTCAAAGAGAAAGAAGAAGACCATAATCTCTTCTAGTTGACCATAACTATTGTTCAGATAAGTATTGTCCAACTAGAGAGTCTAAAACCTCCTAGTTGACCATAATCTCTATTATATTAGAATAAGGGTACAAAGTCAAATATAACCCTAGTACTTAAGTATGGGACATGAAGAATAAAATACAAAACAGAATTACATCACTACACTACTTAAACTATAATGAAAAGACTAAGTTACCCTTACTCAACCAACTCTAATAGATACTTTTAACCTTGAATAAATTAGTGAGCCAAGGATTAAAATATTGATACGATATGCCCCATGTCAAGCGTATCATATTCGTATTAATGCATCCAGATACACATGGATACATTTATATATAAACCTTTTAAAAATTTTTAACTTATTGATCTCATCTCTATAATCCTATTAAAATAAAAAATAGTAAACAAAAAGTAAAAAAATTGGAGTATTGGGCATATTGATACACATTGATACCGAATTTTGGTATCATTGGTAAAAGGAGAGAGAGAGAGAGAGAGAGAGAGAGAGGGAAAGGAGAGAGAAAAAAGATGAAAGAAAATAAGAGGGTGGTGAGAAGGTAAAGTGGAGAGAGAAGAAAGGGGTGAAAGAGAGACGGGAGAAAAGATAGAATTTGTAGGAGATGAGAGAAAAAAGAGGGTGAGAGTGAAATAACAAAAAACTAAATGAATTGATTTCATAATTTACCCAAAATCTCAAGAGGAATCTAAGTATTTTCATTTTTCTTGTTAAATCATACATGTAATTGATAATTCCACTTTTTAGGTTGAATAGAAATATGAAATTCTTCCTTGAATCCAATGATCCAATCAACCAAAGTTGTTCACTAATTGAAAACTCAAAGCTCATACTTTTTACACCTTCAACAACTTTGTAGTCTAGATCTATTGGGCATTAGAACTTGTAGTTTGTCCTTCTCTCTCTAGGGTTTGATTCGCTTGTTGTAGGGTTTTGGAAAACTACAATTCTAAATTTCTCTCTCTATATTATAAAGAGGTAAGTGAATTTTGGGGTGTGAGATCCTTTTTGGATTACCATAACTTACGAGTAAAGTTAGTATATGAGAAAGAAACTCCTCTTCACCTTAGGATTTATCCAAGAATTCTACCTAAACTGAGAAACCCCTTGAAAATGTTACCTGCTTAAAAACTCTTTAAAATCAATTGGTAGCATATGATAACCTATGCATATCAGAGATTTCCAAATCAATCAAGATATTGTAGGATATAAGAAACTTTCTATATCCTAGAAACCATCTTGTGGGTCCTAGTGCTACTAGGACACTTTCTATATTTATTCTAGGGTGATCTAGGGCCAGAATATAAAAGTCCTAGTGCAACTGTGA